TTTTTTGCTAGTGTCCTTAGACGATGGACGCCTTCTCTCTGCTCTGAAGTTAGTAGCCCTCTTTGCAGTCTACTGTGGCCACCATGGCTGTGTGTCAGACCTTATTTGTGTGGTCAAAAGTTACCACTATAATGGCTAGAGCTCTTTCCTGTGGCCATGTGCTACTACATGGATGGTGTGGCATATAACCTTAAACAGATCTCCAGGATTGTCCATATTTGACAGATCCTAATTGCTGGTTTGCTGAGCTTTCTTGCAAGAAGCACCTTGAATGCATGCCCCATACTGGGAACGCTTGTTTGTTGAATCCTTGGATACCTATGTCAAGGAAGTAACGAGATGCAAGAGCACCTGCTTATCTCAGAAGAAGAAGTCCAAGCGTTTAGTGGCAAAATGGTCTGCTACCTCCTTCAAGAAGGGTTCTTTTCATTCCTCCCAAGCATCAGGATTTAAATCCAAGCTAGGCTCTCAGTTTCATGGTAAGTACATGTCCTCCATGCTTGCTAAATCAGAGAACAAGCCTTTTATATTATGAAGGGGTGCCCACACTTTCACTACTTGGGGGGATGTCTGTTGGCCTTCTCGGCCTCTTGGGTCTGGGACATTCCCAATGCCTGGGTCCAATTTGTTGTAACCAAGTGTTACAAGAAGTTGCCACCGCCTCGCTTTCTGCTGTCCAGCTTTCCAAGATTTGTCTGCAAAGGAGGAAGGAGGGATGTCCTCCCTATTGTTGATCTCAATGGGTTCCTGTGAGTCAAAAATTCTGCATGGGATTTACCTGCTCTGCCATCGCCTCTCTTCACCCGGGAGACTTTCTGGCACATGCAACATTACCAGTTTGATTTAGAGTTTTGCCTCTACTTTGGTCTCAGAGAATCCGAATGGGGTACTTGGACAATGTTCTCGTCAGGGAGTAATCAGCACAAGGCGTATAGAACTATGCAAAGCCTGCAGAGCTTCGGATGGATCCTGAATCTGCAGAAGTCAATGCTGGGACCTTCCCATTGCTTGGAGTACCTGGGCCTAGTATAGAACTCGGCAATGTCCAGGGTCTTCCTTCCCCTGGAAAACATCCTAACTCTCCACTTTCATGCTCAGACATTGTGTTCCAAGAGTTGCCCGATTGTTCGCTTTTTCAAGAAGTTGCTGGCCTTCTTCAAGGCAGTTACCTATGTGCAGTTTCACTCCAGGCCATTGCAACTCAACATTCTGGCTGCATGGGACATATAAGTTCAGTCCCTGCACCTCCCCATTTAATTGTCCAGTAAGGCCGGGCTTACAATGGCATGAAAAATTTCTGACCCTGTGCTAGATTTGGGGAAATCCTTTCGATATTCTGGTTGGTGCTAACAATGTATGCCAACCTCTCAGACTGGGGGGGAGTCTTAGGAAACCCCTTGGTTCAAGGGATTTAACTGGCAGAGGAACCTCAACTCCTGATCAATATCCTACAGCTCAGGCAATTAGGTTCTCCCTTCAATTCTGGACCACCCAGTTACAGGGCCACCAGGGCAGTTAAATCTGTTCTATGCCATCCAGCATGTCTTTGGACTAGACCAAAATTTTGCCTTGAGTACGGTCAGCGGCCAAATGTTTGCCTTGGCTATTATTTTTCATAGCAATGCACTCTGGCGTCTCTGTGGAACCTCATCTTAGTACTGTCAATAGAACAGAAGTCACCCTTTAAACCTCTCAGACATATCACTCGGGGCATACTCACACCTGACTTCTGAAGAGTCCTTTTTAGTTATCCATAAGGAGAAGGAAGTGCTGTGGCCTAGGGCCTTCTTTCTTCCTAAGGTGCTTTCTGCCATTCCCCTAACCAGGACATTGTCTTACCAACTTATGCTCTGTTCCTAAACATTCTAAAGAGGTTTCTCTCCATTGTACGGATGTGGTTCTGGCTGTATGTGTTTTACCTTTCTGCTACTGCTTTCATATGCTCTCTCTTTATCATTCATGAGGGTCCCCATTTACGGCAGTCGGCTACTCGTTCCACGATTGCTAGGTGGATTTTGCGAACTATCGCTCAGTCCTGTGAGCTGAAGGGTGATGTTCACCCCTTCTGGTCAAGGTGTACTCTGCTAGGAGTGCTTCTTGGACCTTACAGAATCAGAATTCCATATCCTAAACCTATAAGGCTGCCACCTGTTCCTCTGTTCATACTTTTGCCGGGTGGAGGTTCAGGCTTCGGCAAGTGCTAGGTTCAGATACAAGGTTCTTCAGACAGGACATCTGACTTGTGAGCCCATTTTACTATTGTGCCTTGTTTGGGTTTTTTAGTTGTTTTCACTGGCCTATTAGCCGTTGTTTGCTTTCTGGCCCACCCCACCCAGTATACTTTCATTATTCTGGCAGGCAGGATGGTAATCTGGGACCTGTGGCCTGTATGTGCTTGGAGACTGGTGTGGGGAGAAGGGTGACTGTATTGTAAACTAAACCCTGTATACCCCCCTGCCAACTATCACCCCTTGTCTAGGGAGAGTGGCCACTAGGAGCACACGTATTCAGCAAGTCAATCAAAGTTAGCAGGCTTAACCCTGAGGTCAGCCTCAACTAAAAAAATTAAACCAGTTTCAGAGAGACGCAATGGACACTGTGCTCTTTAATAGGAGTGTTACAGGAGACCATTATTTAGAGAAATACAGGGACAGCCAGGCCAATAAGCATTTTCAAAAGTTGGCCAGCAATGGCAACTTCCACTTCACTCTCAGAATAGGTTACTGTGACGGACTCCCTGGCACCCCGACTGAGCACCTCCGTCAGTGATATGGCTTCCCAAATGGAACGTATTCCAAACCCTGTTACCATTACCTCAAGAATCAGGCAGAACTCATTTTGAGGTAAGCAGAATGACACAAGCCTTTATTAACACAAAGCATTGGAGTTTTATAGAAAGAAGCCCACCCCCTCCCGGTCTAGAACGAACCGGTATCAACCACTTTGTAGGAGGCTGCTTTGTCCCAATACACACTTCGAGCTGAGAGTCTAACAATGGGCTGATTAGCTCAACTGATAGGTGTGGATGGGGGATGGGAGGATAAACAAAGAGACATACACACAGTGCCTTCCCCAGCGTTAGCAATACACAGCCTGGATTTGTCACAGTTACCGCTAAACATTTAAAATGACCAACAGATTTCCTTTAAAGCTAAAGCCTGATTCTAGGAATCCATTTTCTATTTTATCCAATGTTGGGAAGTCAGGAAAGTCCTGGTGCTTACGGCAGTGTGAAAATGAACTGCCATTACTCAGTTTGCAGACTACTCAGCGAAGCCGAATTTCAGATTCCTCCGGCAGCATACAGAAGCAGCTACCTGGTGCCGTATGCAGGCTCCCGGCTTATCAGCTGCGTCCTTATTGACTAATTTGTCATCACTGGCAGAGGATGTTCCATTAAGTAACCGGCATTGAATTATGCCCCGCAGTCGTCTGGAGCTCCCCAAATCTTGGCACTATCTCTGTGCCTATATATTTCGCCCAGTAAGAGAAATCTTTAATTTAAAAAAAAAAAAAAAAAGGTTGTTCCTTTTGTCTTGTAAAGAAAACCTGTATAGAGAAATAAGAGCTAAAGTAAGCTTGACCCTTCCTAGCAGTCACAAAACAGTGTGGATAGCTCCTGCATAGGTCTTTGTGCACAGAGCTGCCATAGCTACTGAATATTTGGTGTGGCTGCTTATGGTGCAGGGCAAGGTGAGTATACACAAGTGGTTAATTAGCAGTTAGGAATTACGTTAAATCTGTAATGGAACTGGTAAGCTGACCCATGGCTTCTGTACTTTCTTAAGTTGGTGAGAAATTGTACAAATCAAGAAAGTCAGAAGTTCTGATCTGTACTTGGAACACGTAAGCAACCCAGAGGATTGAAATAAGAGGGGCCAGCATGAAGGCCATGCAACTAAGATTTTCAGAAAGAAAGCTTTGCTCGTAATAGGTTTCCTCTCAGCTCAATGTTTGCAGGTGAAAAGCACAAGTTCACTTTGCATTTTAGAACTAAGTGTTCCTTCTTTTCATTCTCAGAAAGGTACATTGTATCCACTTAGGAATATTTGAGACAATGCAGTAAGCACTGGTATGATTTCAGTAGCTCAGTATTCAGAATCAGCAATCACTGAGTAGGACTCCGGTTGCTTTGGGTTTCTGTACTTTGCACGCTGCTCTATACCTAAAGGACACTGGCCTAAGAGGAATCAATGAGCTGCCATTCCTGACCTCCTCCTGAAAAAGCAACTTGCATGGCTGTCATGCTAATTCTGATATATAAATGGGGCAGAGGAGCGCTGATCCCTTGCTTAGGTTGGGTATTCCTGTTGGTTATGGGTTGTATTAAGTAGGCCCCTCGATTTGGGAAGCCCCCAAATAAGTAGGATGTTAAACAAACTTTGTGACTTATCAGTTGTTTCTGGCCTGACTTTCTTAAACACTGAACAAATCCAAAAACTGGGTGTTTCCTACTTCACGTGTTGCTTGCTTGTCCAGCTCTGTGAAGATATTAAAGCCAGAGAGAGCCAATAATGACAATCCTGTATTTCTGCCAGCACTGGATTTTATTCACATGAATGAGTAGGGCACATGTTAGCATTATCAAATCGCATTATTTGTTGCCTTCAGTAAACCAAATTATTTTTCCAAGCTTGCTTGTGTGACCTAAAGCCTAGGTGGCCTCGATCACAAGGGCTCTGGTTAGAAGAGGCCATATGGGAGAATGTACCCAGTCTATACTTTTCAGTCAAGGGGGCCTCATCTTTTAGACTTACCTTGAGATTAGCAAATGGGCAAAGCACAATCACTGTGCAGCTTTACTGAGGTGATAGCAGTATACTGTATATAGCTGTCCCCATGTACAATTACCAATTATACATAGAGTATGGGTTTTTAAAACTTCTTGATAATGAGCAGATGACTTTGATGTGTGTATTTGAAAATAGGTATTAAAAGGTTAATGTTCTTTCATTCCTCACTGTTGCGATTCCCTAACAGTGGTCTTTGGTCATTCGCAGGTACAATCCCCCCACTCATAAAGTCCATTGTGACGAGCGAAGAAGGTCTGTCCAACAACAAGGGGATAAAAATGCTGGTGACAATTTCCTGCATCCTCATCGCGGTCCTTCTTGTCTTCGCCTTGCTGCTGATAGTCAGGAGGAGGAGGAGAGAGCAGAGACTGAAGAGACTGCGAGGTAAGAAGCTCCCCTTGTCAACGTGTAGCATGTGCGCCAAGTAGATAAGTAGGAGGCTTTAGTCTAAGCAACAACTACAATGCATTACAAATGTCAGCTTTGCCTTCTTGCTAATGGCAGCTGTGAGTTTCTGCTGCAGTGTATAGATGGTGCACAACTTACAGCTACAAGAGAACAAGTCTTTAGTTTGTTGGAGAAGCAGCAGGGTACAATGTTTTTGAAAATCTATATCCTATTAAATGTGGGATCTGAATCAGAAAATGAAAATATGGAGACTAGGTCTACTCAACGCTTGTGTTTTATTTAATATTATTATACAGGATTTATAGAGCGCCAACAGTTTGCGCAGCGCTTTACAATATAAGGAAGACATTACAATCAAAATACAGTTCAATACAAGATGGTAAGGAGGGCCCTGCCCATGAGGGCTTGCAATCTAAAAGGTAGGGGCAAGTAATACATGAGGAGGTAACTGTGTGGGGATGAATTGTCTGAGAATGTGATGAATAAGTGGTTAGTTTGAGCTGGGATAGGCTTCCTTGAAGAGTCTTAAGGGACTCATATTTAGGCATAGATGAAGCTTACCAGGCCTGGACGGTAACTTAGACATGATATCCAGGTGTAGATGGCCACGTAAGAGGTCCTCTGAGCCCCTTGTGCATCAGGCTGCTCTTAGTTTACCCAGGTCACCCTCTCCACCCCCTGCCGAAAGGGTTTACTGAAGACCATAAAAAGAAGATACCATTTCCAATGTAGACCTTTGTACTGTGCTTGGCAGAAGTGGTGGGGTTTAAATGGCCCTTTAAGCAAGTTGCCTAGACATACCGTAAATACTTAAAATTAAGCTGCCCCTAAACCTAACCTTTATCTTACTCTGAGCATACCCTAAAATGTGACCTTAACCTAAACTTTAAATATTTGTTAACCTAAATCCAAAAACGTGTCCTGATGAAAAAGAATACTATTACACCAATAATAAGTTACATTATGTGGCCAAATGTTTCTGGATGACTGACCATCATCCCTATACAAGGTCGTTGAACATTGCATTCCAAATCCACCAGGACTGTCCCCATGACACCTACACCTTACATCAGAAGGCTGGCAAGCTGTCAAGATTCTGCTCTCCATAGAGAATAACTGAGATTTCAATGGCTCTCTTCTGAACTTTTGAGCATGAATTTCTCCACAATACCTATAGCTACGGAGGTGAATGAGGTGTTGATTTTAGAATATATAAATACTTTAGTGTGCATTGTCTGGGCACAGGTTCACTTTAAGTATCCTTCACAGAAAGAGTTTTTCGAAAACAGTTGGCTTACTTTATATGGTCATTTTGAACACAAATTGTACTTAGCGGAGACCTTTAAATATTGATAACAATTATTATAGGCCAATAAACCCGCACTGCCTAAAAGTACTTAGTAGAACTATTAAAATCCTACAGTGCATTGTTTGACGTGGATAGTAAAATGAACAGACTTTTATATTAACTATAATTTTGGTATATAGAAAAGCTCATTAAAAGCAGGATATGGTTTTTAAAATACTGAATACTAAATTTTTTAAAATAATGAAATCTCTAAATTGAGCTGCACTATCCTAGCGTTAGGAACTAATCTATAAATCAAGAAACTGTGTCTCTGCCACCCTATTATTACATCATGCAGAGCAAAAACATTTTGTGTTACGTCCCTACTGCAGAATTTTAGGAAAACTAATGGAACAAATTCTCCTGGCTTCCAACTAACACAGATGTCAAGCTTCATGCTTAGATCCAGAGCTGCTGGGGCACAAGGACATCACTCACCTCTAATGGTACCATGCATCCGCCATCCTACCATGGAGTTCATAAGAGTGGAGGCCTAAAAACAGTAATTTATATTCTTCTGTTATCAGTGAAAGTCCCTCTATAGCCTTTAGATTTTTCCTTTCAGAGTGGTAAACATTTCCAATGCAAGTTGTCATGTTAAATATCTTAAAAATGTAATTTACCCTTCAGCTAAGGAGCTGGATTCCTCCTGCACTCTGTTAGACAGTGCTGCAGTGGGTGAGCGGGATTGAGCAGGACTCTACATCATTTCCCTAAGCACCTACAGATAGAGCAATGTGCTGCCAATCTAATCAGGGCTGTGAGTATGGCTATCCATTGATTGGACTATCAACAGTGCCAACATCTAAGCAGTTACAGCAGCCTGTGAAAAATACCTAATTGCTATGGGGATGCATGTGATCTCCTCCCATGTGAGAGTGCTAGCAGCCGATTGATAGGCTCAAACACTATTACCACTCCTTCATGGATCTGACACCTAGTATTTTAGTGGAGGAATGGAGGAAGGAGAGGCAGGGGTCCTTTGCACAGACCCTGTCACTTTGCCTATTCCGGGCCCTTTAAAAAGTACTAATCACCATTAGTACTGCAATGCAGGTACATCAATATACATTCACATAGCTCCCTCTGTCTTTCTCACTGTTCACAGCTCAGGGCACATAAATATGCAAATAAATACTGCAGTGCTGAAGTCTCTGGCCCATTCTCTCTCCACTTTTTCATTGGTTAGTAAGGCCAACCATCACAATGATGGACCATTTATGATGTTTGGGAAGAAGTAGAGGGTGGGCCACAGATCTGACTTCAGGACAGCCGTTATATGCATATCTTAGTGTCCAAGGAGCCCCCAATGCACTCCTAAACCTATAGAGAGCCATGTGCTGCCATGTCTACGTGTTGGCTTTATATTGCCAATTTAGTTCTTTTAAACCATCCACAGATTAACAGTACTTTTAGAAATCTTCAAATTCACCTTGAAAGTTGTATGGCTATATACCAGCCCTTCTCAGCCAGCGTTCCTTGGAATCCTATGGTTCCTCCTGAGGTTGCTAGGGTTTCCAATGAGCCGTGTCGAATTACTCTCCCACCTAAACTGACCACCAATACAAGGGGGCAATCTTCTTTTAACTCCCTATGCTAGGGCTGATCAATCTTCACTGACCACTAATAGTAGTGGAAACCACAATATATAGATTCTGCATTGCTTTTCCGTTATTATTCATTTTTTTAAGATTACTCCTGAAAATAGTTTTGGCGTATATAGTGTTGGAAATACAACAACATATTACTGATATTCTAATGTACTGATATAAGTTTATGTCTTTTGAGCTGTAAATGGCGCTGTAGTGCAATGTTAGTCTTTTATATGCATGCTTGTCTATGATACATAGGACGTTTTCCTATCTATATGTTTCCTGTACAATGCTGTATTCAGATGTAATGTTCTTCTAAGCAAGTAAAACTTAATTCAGCATTCCACAAGATCTCAGTGCTTCATCTAAACACATAACCAACATATGGAAGGTGGAATCTGCCCTGGGTGTTAAATACTCTACAACATTCTTTAGTATAACATTTTCTACAACATACTGATCATGCTAATGCACCATGAGCAATAGGTATAATCATTTTCAGCAGGGATTAAGTGAGTACTTGGTTTGCTTCGGGATAAAAAGGATGAGAAAGGCTTCGGTATACAGTATAGTCAGTCTGTTGCTTCAGGTCCTAACACCTCCAAGGTGAATAGTATTCCTATGTGCAGCAGAGGACATAATATCCTGAATATAAATTGATTTACTTTGTAAACTGCATTAATATCCTTCACGTCAGTGAACCCTTATGTGGATTCACAGTGATACAGACCTCTTTGTAAAATGCAGGCATAGTATTATCCATCAGCCTCCAAGAATACCCACAGTGCTAGGGATGTGCCTCTTTCCTGGGCTACAGAGCTACAGGCAAGCATTGATTGTGTTGCTGAACATTAGATTGCATTGTGCTAAGTGTGAAGGATTAATTTGGTAGGTGCACTCTGTGGCTGTACAGGTGTCACTGTATATCTTAGCTTAGGCTCATTTGACAGGAGAGAAGGCTAAAGATGCATTTATTGAGCTCAGCTTCTGCATATATTATTTACAATCTGGTAAACTGAACCTACTGTGCCACTTACGCTGATTCTCTTTATCCCCTTCTCTGCCGGCTAATGGCTGCATTGTGCTTGATCACTCTTTTAAGTTGAATTACTTCCAGGGCTTGTACCCTTGACTTTTCCTCGAAAACCTATCATACACTGCCTACCTAGAGGCCAGGACAGATTAGTTTTCAGCAGCAGTTCAAGTGAGAAAATGCAGATGTGAATGAATAGCTTAAAAATAAAGTGGCTCTGTCACTTAAAGCAAAAAAGCTCTGCACAAAAATTCACAGGACGAAAATTAATAGCCCATTGAAATATTAAATAACAAACCCAGATTTTGCTGCAATATTCGCCTTCAATTCAGAGATGTCCCCAGTAGTAGCTGACACCATGTCAAATTCAGTTCATATCACCTTGTAGAGGTTTTCTTTCACTTCCTGTTGCATTTCTAGGACAAGGGGTGAAGGGAAATCTCCTCAACCAGGAAAAAACAGCTAAAAATAAGATGTTAGGTTTTAACCCTTCCTTATTATTTCCGAAGCAAATTTACATGCACTGGGGCCAGGGCCGGATTTACTCTCTCTGCTGCCCCAAGGCCAGGTTCCTCAACGAGCCCCCCAATGGAGAACGGCAGACCTGCATGCTGCATACCAGTGATCTCGGCGACATCACTGAAATCACTTGTACCAAACAAGCGGCGGCTTCCTCGCTGTACATTTAGCTTTGCTTGCTCAAAGCAGGGCTAAATGTAGAAAACAACCACCTGCCCGGTGCCCAGAACTGCATGTTGGGAAATAGAAATTCCCCACCCCTGCTGCCCCTCTACTCCCTGCTGCCCCAAGGCCTTGGTTGGCCTTGTGGTAAATCCGGCCCTGACTGGGGCTCCCTCTACACTGCAATGGTTAAATGCTTGTTTTTGCCTAGGGTACCATTAAAATGCACATTTACTTGCCATATCCACTCACTTCTGCAGACTTCCTCTTCTCCTTGTGACTGCTCCCCCAAAGCCTCTTCTCTTCGGTGCTCTGTTCATCCGTCATGTGCATGCAGAGTGCCGAGGGCCCACTCACAGCCTGGAGCATTGGTGGGAAAAGAAGAGCCCTAGCTGCCAGGGGAGCAAGGGTTAAGATAAGTAAAAGTGCTTTTTAATGGTACCCTAGGGGTTGGTGGAGTTGGTATTCAACTACAAGAAGTCTATATTCCTTTTAACTCTGTTTTAGAGCCGTAAATTATTAGGTTGGTTATGTGACGGACCGCCTGGTTCCCCGACTGGGTACCTCCATCAGAAATCAGCTTCCTCTCCCCTGGAACACGAATTCTAGCATCCTCAGCCCAAACCTGCCTAATTATTGGACGTAACCAATATATTAAGATAGAAGACTAAACTCACAAAATAATAAAGATTTACCCCAATCAGACAACACCAATGTTGAAGTCAAATCAGGAACTGCCTCTGTTGAAAACCAGCTCAGTATACAGGTGAAACTCGAATAATTAGAATATCGTGCAAAGTTCATTTATTTCACTAATGCAACTTAAAAGGTGAAACTAATATATGAGAGAGACTCATTACATGCAAAGCAAGATAATTCAAGCCGTGATTTGTCATCATTGTGATGATTATGGCTTACAGCTCATGAAAACCCCAAGAACCCCAAATCCACAACCTCAAAAAAGTAGATTATTACATGCAATCAATAAAACAAGGATTGTACATAGAACAATATCGGACCTCTGAAAAGTACAAGCATGCATATGTACTCAGTACTTGGTTTGGGCCCCTTTTGCAGCACTTACTGCAATTACTTTTGCACGATATTCTAATTATTCGAGTTTCACCTGTATAGTGTATACAGTTCTGCAAGTCTAAAACATAATACAATCAGACATGAAAACAATGCAAGCAAACCATACCCTCCCGGTGTCTTAATTAAGGAGTAAGGATTGTCTGCTGAGTGTCTATCATATGTTAATTCACTCAGCTACATCTAGTCTCCGAGTTAAGTTAATCCCATTGTTAACCCAATCACACAAATGGACAAATAGACTTAACTAAAAGACTAACAATTAAATGGGAATCTCATTCCAGAGTTAACCCCTTTGGTGTTGCTGGATTCACAACCTGTACCTATAATGGGCATAGGGTCACTTAAACCAGTGGTTCTCAACCTGTGTAACCTCAGGACCCACATTTGTCCTCAATCATTAAGTCGCGACCCAAGTCGCACCGCACTGGAAGGCAAGGCATTGCAGCACTGTGCGTTTCAGTGCACGCGATTGAACTGTGGGTGGGTGACATCACTCTGGTCCAGGCACCGCTACACGGCATGCACGGTAGCTGTAAGCAATGCGCGTATGGATGAAGCTCCCTCGTAGCCATACCCTCAGCCCACCCCACCTCACGACACCAGGCATCATATTTTGAATGGCTGCTTTGTGCAAGGACTGACAGTGCTGGACAAGGTGGAGGCTGAGTAGCCTCTCACCTAGCACTGTGGTGACCCACTTCTGGGTTGCGGCCCACCAGTTGAGAACCACGGACTTAAACGTAATGCCAGGGGAAATATGCAGTATATCCACTCCACACAAAACCTGGGATAATAGTTCCTTGTAACCCCAAGAAGTCCGAGGGGGTCTCCATAGTCCTAGGTCCATAGTCTGTAGGAAGGAGGCTAGCCCCCTGGCTCCTCCAACAGCCCCAGTGATGGTTCAGTCCGTCACAGGTTATTTTTAAGGAAGGGGTATTGACAGAAGTATGTAGGCAACCTTTGCAGACGTCTGCTTCTGAATATGCTAGTATGCTAGTAACACCTGCAAAAACATCCATACTCAAGTGTGAATGGTGGCTTACAGCTTATTAGATCGACACATAGTTTTGTGGTATGAATATTAAACAATGTTTGTTTTTCTCCATCAGCCAGGGCTTCTGCAAGAAGCATTATATAAAGTTAAAGTACATATAAGTGAACTGTTTTACCTCCCATTGGCTGTGATATGCTGTATTTTACCTACAATATCGAATATAGACTCCAAGCCCCTCTACAAACTAGCTTGTGGAGTATGGCATCCCTATTTTGAGAATATACGACTCTTTGTTATGCTGTGCAGACAGCCCTTAGGTTCGCATATGCCTGCCACACTGCACAGTCAGTCAGATGAATTCACTGCCTCCTGGGACAGCTATACAGTTTCCTATATCACCTGCCAGCAGCATGATCATTTTGGTTCAATGTACGATGAGTAGGCTGGTGGTGGAGAGATGACACAGGATATTTCACATCAGAGCTTGCACACAGGGGTGTCTTATGCCTGGATATATAGTGTGGCGCATGTGTGTGACTCACAAGAGTAGCTGAACAGAATTACAATTTATTAGGCAGGAAGACCTGTTCCCATATATGTATTTGTAGTCGGGCATTTAGCCATTTGGCTGGAGTTCCACTTAAAACCCAAAGGGTTAAAAAGCAGGATTTCTTTCTGCTAAGCTTTTGCTGAGAACAAAACAAAAAAAAAAAAATATTGTTACATTGTTCTCAATGTAACAATAGAGAGCATTATCTCTGCAAACAATCCATTTATTGTCTGGCAGGAGTAATGTAATATTCCTTAGTGGTGTAGCTCACCTCATTCCTGCTCATGCCAGGTGTGTACGGCCCTGCTGGGGTTTTATTGCTGGTCTGCTGCCAGACAGACTATAGTTATTAACGTTTACATCTGAACCCAATCACTAGAATCTTATATAAGCTGTAACAATGTTAAAGAAATTCCAAAAGGTGTTTTCAGCCTTATTAAATCTGAAACCGTGAAGACAATACCTGTTATGGGGTGACAACTGTCTTCAAATTTTGCTCCTGTATCGTCCACCCTGTCACAGGCACCCCTGGTGGAGACCACAAATGGCTGTACCGACACATGTTGCTCATGTATGGTCCGCCATTGGCAGCACCGTCTGAAAAAATGATGTAAAGCCACTAGGGATGCGCCGATATCAAGTACCGTACTTGGTACAAGTACAGATACTTTTCCAGCTCCAAGACTAGACTAGAGAAAAATACAAAAGTTAGGAGGCAGCTGTCATTTGTAAGGAGCACACGGAGCTCCTGGGATTTGTACATCTCTATTTTAATGTAAGATATTTTTTTTATAAATATATATTAGGGATGCACCAATACCACTTTTGCAAGTACAAGTACTGATACATTTTTGTTTATGGTCATGTGACAGTTTTTCTAAAACAATATCGATTTCAGGACAGTGGTGGAGCACCAGAGCTAGATTCCAGCTGCAACTTCTGCAACCCTGTGAGTTCTCATGAGAATGCCAAGTATCGGCACTAGTATCTGAACTGGTATCGGTGCATCCCTAGAAGCCACACAAGTGCGCTGAAGCAATGTAGAAAGACGTGGCTGAAAAAGGCAAGCGCAGGTCCAGGATAGGTAATGGCTTGGGAGCCATTTAGGGCTTATTTACTATAAAGAGTTGCTGGAAAGTAATTTGTTACCACGGCGTGCGGTAGCATGCGTGACTGCACATTCTTTCCAAATGGCACCCGAGTGCACTAAGGCAATGCACATTAGTCCAGTTCATTGTATTGGACTAGGTTTGTGTCTGATTTTTGGCACATCAGGGTGAGTTAGCAGGCCATTTATATGGGCTTCCGTAACACGACATGTTTAAACGTGCTCTTAAACCACCAATAGAAACCTTAATTTTGCCATCCCTGTTGACTCCAACACCTATCACCAAAATGTTGCCAAATCTCATGATTTTCACCAAAATTTTATTAACATAAAAAGAAAGCCAGAAAGACCCAGAACGATCGCACAGGAAGGTGGATGTACGTAGATGATGATGATGAGGTCATAAATGACCTCATAATCACTACTAGTCTCCCTGCTAATGTGTGACAGCGCATTTTTCAATTATTTTCCTGAATTGTCACTGCCACTTTGATAGGAATAACATAGAATACGAGGTAAATGGCACAAATCCTACATAACTTATGCATAGGATATATATGCAATAGGCCTGCGGCAAGTTAGCGAAAAGCTGAATATGGCTCCGATATTTATGTATTAGGTTAGGCAACTCTATTCTTGGAAATTCTGCATTCTGGTATCACCTCCTCAGTTTATAGCATGACCTCAATATACACAGAGGCTTTTGTGTGTACAGTAATGGCTACCAAACTAGAGAATAACAGGAGCGCATGTTATTTGTCACGTCTTACTCCATAGCTGCTCCTGAGCCATAAGCGGTAGGAATAATTGGCCTTATGCCCCTGATTGGCTGGAACATGGCCAGCAGAGTTACTTAAAGGAGAGAGCAAGAGACTGTCAGCTGCCCTCTAGGAAGCTTCACACCCTTCTTCCCACGTAGCACCATATATTGTGTGGTTCTGTCACCTCCTGCCGTAGGGAGCACTGTTTGTAAAATCAACAATCGACCTTAAATGTGTGCCAAAAAATATTATAGGTAGAAACTATAAAAAAATAAACTGTACCGTTGAGTTTCTTGTTTGTAAACTGAATTATAGTGTTTTGTTTTGTTTTTCATTTCAGATGCGAAAAGTTTGGCCGAGATGCTCATGAGGTAAGAAGATTTTGTTTTATATTTTTAAATTCTTTGTTTTCACCCAGGATTATGGTTTCTTTGCCAGCGTTTCATTCAGGAAGACATGCTGAAGCCGGTGCAGATGCCCCTGCAGTCTAGCTTTGTGAAATTTAAATAAATTGTTAGAATGACGCTCCAGCAAGTACAGCCAGCCTAGAGGGAATATCTTGTATTTTTCACCCCTGTAGATATTATTTTGAATGAATGAGTGAATTAGGTGAAATTATTTTATATTTAGAAGGATTTTGGTGAAATTAAGTATTTTAGATTATTTAGTGTTGTTGTATTCTTTGTGTATTTGATCAATCAAAATTAAAATTTTCCTTTTTTTTTTTTTTTTCTGTGAAAACAATGTAAAATATTGACTCTCTTTGTGCAAGAACAGGACCAGTATAGATGAAAGGAGTTTGTTTGAACACTAAAAAAACACTAAAAACACCTCAGTTTCTTCTTGAATGGCAAACTCCCTAGGTTTTCGGTGGGGCAGGGTGGGGGCAGGGGGGAGATGCCGGTGTGTGTG